CACAATAGGAATTAGGTTAACATACCCATAGTGGTATACATGATATATGTTTAAAGTGTGTTCAGAATGGAATGGGATAAAAACTGTTTTCTTGGCCATGATAATGTTTGCAACATATCTGCGCGTATTTTTGTGAGTGTGCATGTTTTATGTAACCTTGAATCATTCTTCTCTATAAGAGTTACCTCCCTGACGTTTAACGCACTGTCAGTGTACTGCTGTAGTCTGACACGTAAGTTGATCAGGCTGTCAAAAAAGTTGTTTTCCTTCCAACGAGAAACTGGGTCCACGTTTCCCGCATAGCGATCTGTAAGTAAGTGAAGGCTGCCATGTGATGTATGCGGGGAGCCACAGAGAAGTGTCGGTAAGCGTGAAGCAAGTATGATAGCGATATTTTTGTTACATAGACTTGTCTCCATCACCAGATTCCATGGCTGTGGTTGGAGATAACGCAACTCACCACGTGTGAGGCCCACTTCTTGAGAGAATTCAACTAGTTTTGAAAAGTTTTTCAACGATTAATATCATGAAAAAAATCAAGACTTTGTCGGATGTGTTAGCTGGGCCCAAATGTCATGTAATTATATCTCTACAAAGTCTACCCTATGGTTTGTTTTCGAAGATGAAACTCTATTGCCAGTGTCGTAACTTTAAGTATAATTCTAATTAATCAAACTGCACAGTTTGAAGGCAAATACACCCTGCTATCAAATCTCTTTATTGTTTTCGTTGTTAAACATATGAAGACACTCCCAACAATAATGGCCGTAGGAGCGAGAGGCCTATATAAACACTGACTGTTAATATTACATATTGCATTAGTGCACACTTGTCATGGTGTGGCCACTGCTTCTTATTATGCTGCACTAATGGTCTGCAACTTACCTGTAATATATATATATCTTTAATTATCACGTGTATGACCGCACCGCCTCCAATACTTTCTGATCCTCTGCGTTTCCTTTCAGAATACAACAGCTATAGCTTCATCCCTGCCATTTGTTTCCCTGGTATCAATCTTGTACGTTAATAATGAACACTATTAATGTGTTTGAACTTTGCAAGTTCTACCCTGTACTATATGCTAATTGCATGTGCTACCTTCAGGATCAGGATAGGATAACATGACATGAGTTTAGATATTAGGGTAATAGAAAAATAGAAAACAAACATAAATTGAATCAAAGCTAGTAATATATATTCACAGCAATGACATCCGAAAACATTTGTTATTGTTTTCAAGGAACAAGAGGTATTAGGTGGACACAATCATAGTGGTATACGTGGTTCATGTTCAAGTTCTTTCAGAATGGAATGGCTTAAAACCTGTTTTGTTATGAGGTGATGAGCAACACGTTCAAGCAGTGCAGCATCGTGGCAGCCTGGGCTATAAATAGAAACACTGGTTTAGGATTCCAATGAATGGCATTACCAGTGTTAACACAAAACTTCATAAGACCTCATCATCAAAGCATGAAACAAATAAATCACTAAGGACACAAGAGGTTGCGTATGAATTTATGTCAAACATCTTAATCTAAACCACGATAATTTTTTGAAAACGGAAATCTATATCAGAATTGACATTCAATAGTATGCCCACAAACGTTTTGCTACTCGAATATTTTGCCATTGTTCTCTGTATATGACGACAGCGTCTCCAATGATTTGCCATTGTTCTGTGTATATGACGACAGCTACTCAAGTGTTTTGACATTGTTCTGTGTATATGACGACAACTACTCCAATGATTTGCCATTGTTCTGTGTATATGACGACAACAACTCCAGTCTTTTGCCATTTTTCTGTGTACATGACGACAGCAACTCCAGTGATTTGCCATTGTTCTGTGTACATGACCACAGCTACTCCAATGATTTGTCATTGTTCTGTGTACATGACCAAGCTACTCCAGTGTTTTGCCATTGTTCTGTGCATATGACGACAGCGTATCCAGTGTTTTGCCATTGTTCTGTGTATATGGCGACATCTACTCGACTGATTTGCCAATTCTTTGTGTATATGACGACAGCTACTCCAATGATTTGCCATTGTTCTGTGTATATGACGAGAGCTACTCCCTTGATTTGCCATTGTTCTGTGTATATGACGACAGCTATTCCAATGATTTGCCATTGTTCTGTGTATTTGACGACAGCTACTTCAGTCTTTTGCCATTGTTCTGTGTATATGACGACAGTTACCCTTTGTTTTGCCATTGTTCTGTGTATATGACGACAGTTACTCAAATGATTTGACATTGTTCTGTGTATATGACGACAGCTATTCCAATGATTTGCCATTGTTCTGTGTATATGACGACAGTTATTCCAAGGATTTGCCATTGTTCTGTGTATATGACGACAGCTACTCCAATGATTTACCATTGTTCAGTGTGTATGACGGCAGCTACTCCAATGATTTGCCATTGTTCTGTGTTTATGACGACATAAACTCAAATGCTTTGCCATTGTTCTGTGTATTCGACGACAGCTACTCCATTGTTTTGCCATTGTTCTGTGTATATGACAACAGCTACTCAAATGATTTGCCTTTGTTCTGTGTAAATGACGACAGCTACTCCAATGATTTGCCATTCTTTTGTTTGATTACGACAGCTACTCAAATGATTTGCCATTGTTCTGTGTATATGACGAAAGCTACTTCAATGATTTGCCATTCTTTTGTTTGATTACGACAGCTACTCCAATGATTTGCCATTGTTCTGTGTATATGACGACAGCTACTCAAATGATTTGCAGTTGTTCTGTGCATATGACGACAGCTACCCGGGAATCGAATCCGGGTCTCTGGTCTGACGAACGAACGCTTTAGGCACTCGGCTACCTCTAGGCTACCCCTAGTTGGAGGCCAAATCAGGAATGTGTCTCGATACTGCAGTAGTTAGGGGTAGCTCATGATGTCCTGGATTATTTTCAGTAAAACTTATCTTAATGTTGAACAAGTCAAAGGAAAAGTGCCCACACCCTGTACCGAGTTTCGTACAGGTCACTCTGACATCGACAAAACTTAATGTGAAGTCATCTGGCCGAAATCCATACTTTCTTGAAACATCTGATACCCATTAATGTTTCCACAAATAACTAAAATGCATTAACTAAATCTAAATGTCCCAAAGTTCAAACGGGTCAAGCTGACATACAGAGTACTGACGTCGAGTATGCATGTATGTCTCATCTAACAGGTGTGTTAGTGTGGCGCTACAATGCCATGCTCCTTACAGCACAGATATAGTTTCTTATTCTCTGTACCTCCAACATGGGGCGACTAAATGTGACAGCAGCAGAGTATTGATGAGTAGAGTAAAAGGTGATCTTTTTATTACAGCATTCTCTATATAGAGGATTAAAAACACAACCAGCCTCCACATACAGATTTTGTCTCAGAGAAGCTCTAAAGGCTCAAAGGCAAGCCTCAGTCTCTGATGATGAATAGAATCTAGTTTTTTAACTCACGTTTACAACCTCCACCATATACGATGGAGATGTAATCCAGTTTAGAGCGCTCTATAGTTGGAAGAGGTTTTTTTTCTGATCCCCTCCCCGCTTTGAATAGGAAACGACTTTCAATGGAGCAAGTGACTTCAGGCATTTATTTTTTAAGTAATTAATGTGTGGCAGAAAGGTTTAATTTTTGTTTCACCGTTTTCTTGCTTTTTTTGATAGCTTTCACGTCATAAGGAAAGAAACTTACCTGTTGTCCTTATGTCATCAAAAATAACGAAAAGGGATTCGAAACATGGGTCTGGTAAATGCTTCAGGAGTTGGTAATTAGTTGATAATATCAGTGTCTTAACAGTATGTTTCTTGTAAACATATTGCACCTGGTTTGAAATCTGGAATTAAGAGTTGTAAGTCATCATAGTTATTCCTAAGATCTCTACAGTTCCATTGTATTATATTTGATGCTTGAGCCTTTTGTGGCTCAATTGGTAATCTTTCATGTGAATATGAGCACCAAAGCGGTTGTGGAGACATAATCTCCGAGGATGAGAGGGTAATGGGTGTTTGATGGACATTTTATTCTTATTTCACCTTTTTCTTTCTTTTCTTGATAACTTTTGTTCTGCATTTGCTGGTTCGACATGAATTATCTCAGTATCAGCCTGAAAGGGAGAAAATGTTTAAGAGATTAAGAGGTTTCAGCAGAATTTGCTTCAACAGAAAAAGAATTTAGATTAAAATTAAGCTGCCTGGCGACGGTAAAGCTGATGTTTCGTTCTTGTTTTGTTGACGAATTTTTATTTCTGTTTGATAAACAGGGCAGAATTTGGAAGTGGCCATGTGTTGCCCATCCCAGTTTGGACATTTTAAATCTTGAGGACAATCTGCACTTTCATGGTTGTCACCATAACGATGACAGAACATGGGATGTGTGCAGGTTTTCGAACCATGTCCACTTTTTTTACATTTAAAGCATCAGAGTGTATAGGGGACATACGCCTCAACTCCGATGTTGGCATAACCAGCTTCAATTGAATTGGGAACAGGTCAACGGGCAAAAGTGAATAAATATGTGTTCGTTTTAACAGTAGTAGATTCATCATCCTTTCTGGTAAAACGTTTGACAGAATAAACTTGATTTTTGCCTCGGCAATATTGAGACTGCATGTGGCATAGAGACCCGGTTGTCTGCTACGGGTGGATCAAAGGCATATGTTGTACATTGGACATATAGACCTTGGTGTCGGGGATGGGTAATAAGTAAGTTCCCCAGCGTGAGACAAATAGAAGTAATTTAACAATTAACATTATTAATGTTTAGGGGTTAGATTGAGATTAATTAAAGTAACCAAGAAATCTAATCTTTTTTCAAGTTACTTCAAAAATAATAATACTCTCAACACGAGACTATTGTGGCAACATATTCGGTTTGAAACACGAAACTCTGATGTGGTGCCAAATGTACGCACAGGAATTTTCTGTCAGAGCATTCCAGAATTGGCCTTTTGTCAAAAACGGGAGTCAGGCTAGGTGTATATTCAGCACCAACGCAGTCTTCTCATAACTGCGGAGAGCTGTAGAACGTCCCTACATGATGGAACTAACAAGCGTTGTATTCATCATTCTTGTGTCGTTGTGTGGTGTCAGAGACGTACATGCTTATACCAATTTGCCAGCCTTCTCTAGAAAACTAGACATGCCAGACAGAGAGATCAAAGCGTGGAAAGGCACAGTTGCTGATTTGGGGATCGAAATGAGAAACAACTTTGACTTACTGGAGTTATCACTGAAAGAAGAACTGACTAACACGTTCATCCCTGCCTTGATAACGCCTCTGGTGAAGCAAGCGATTACTGTCATCCTGAAGGAAGAAAACATTGGGAACATTGTCCGCGGACGTGTTCTTAATGTAGTTAAAAGTCTAAAAGTCAGCATTCATAAGCTAAAAACACAACTTCGATCAGTAAAACGACAGTTCAGAAAAGTTAAACGGGAAGGAGACCCTTATAAAGAGAGTCTTGGCAAATTACGAGGCGAGCTGACCAAAGACTTTCAGGGAATACAGCAAAGGGTGAGTACAGGCACTCACACATTTCACACGTTCACCTATATCAGAGCCTGGTATTATTAATCAGAACCAGTGTATTTAATAAGCAAGGAGCCTATCACAAGGTGCTCTATTAATATTCATAAGCCTGTGTGTATTTGTTATCTATCACCTGTTGTTGTCTATGTAAATCTGCTGCTATCACACCATGTCATGCATATATATCTCTCATCGCTCGGTTGTTGTTGCTTCAGCTTGATAACTGTTATAGAATATACATCGAAATGTCGCTATATGCAATAAGCCAGAAGTTGTTATCCATAAATTAGTTCGTTTTCCATCGTAGAACAACGTATGGTAATGAATTCCATATAAGGTAGTGCATATTACGATGGAGCTATGACTCACACTGACAGGAATGCTTGTAGTAGCAATGCATATGGTGTTGATGTAATGAAGCAAAGAAGTTGTCGACTGTTTTGAAAACATGTTTGGAAAGCAGCAGCTAGCCTGGCTTAATTCCATTTACTCAACAGGCTATTCAACAGACATTCAACAGGCTATTTAGCCGAGCAGTTTCATGCCTTAAGATCATGCCGTTCTATTTTTCATTTGAAACCATTGGAAAAAAGAGTTAGCCGTATATACGGCATTAACACAGCAAATATACTCTCCCAAAAAAGAAACGCTCAGGTGAACTATAAAAGTTAAATTTAGTTCATGTAAATGGAAACTATGAAATAATTGTTTCCACCGCAAATCAACCAACCACCAAAACACACCACCTAATGAAACATGAACCCTAAACAGGCCATTCTTCAAATGCATGAAGTGGAAGGATCCCAAAGCGTGATGCACGTTAACATTTGGGAAGTTCTGCTCCAAGATGAGGGATGTAATGGGATGACACCATAGGACATAGCATTCACCTTTTTGTGTTTTTCCGAGTCAATCGATATGCCAAGATTGTGTGCCCTTTACGATGTCTGTAGACTCGGATTCATGACGCACATGGTTTACTGGGCATTTCAACATAGGGTTTACAGGGTATGTCAACATAGGGTTTACAGGGCATGTCAACGTAGGGTTTACTGGGTATGTCAACATAGGGTTTACAGGGCATGTCAACATAGGGTTTACTCGGTATGTCAAAATAGTGTTTATTGTGTATGTCAACATAGGGTTTACTGGGCATGTCAACATAGGGTTTACTGGGTATGTCAACACAGGGTTTACTGGGGATGTCAACATAGAGTTAACTGGGCATGTCAACATAGGTTTTATAGGGCATGTCAACATAGGATTTACTGGACATGTAGACATAGGGTTTACTAGGCATGTAGACATAGGGTTTACTGGGCATGTCAACATAGGTTTTACAGGGCATGTCAACATAGGGTTTACTGGGCATGTAGACATAGGGTTTACAGGGCATGTAGACATGGGGTTTACTGGGCATGTAGACATAGGGTTTACTTGGCATGTAGACATCGGGTTTACTGGGTATGTCAACATGGGGTTTACTGGGCATGTAGACATAGGGTTTACTGGGCATGTAGACATGGGGCTTACTAGTTTACATACAATTAGTTCCCTGTTTACGCTGCAATATCGATAAAAGAAACTACTCGAGAGTGTTTCAACATAATCACTCTTTAGTGTCGATTCCAGATTAGAACAAAAAGTTACACCAGAAATGTGTACACGAAAGTGAGTGAGTGAGTGTGAAGCCAGCAACTTACAAAGAAATGTGCCATTCACAATTTCTATCAGGTTTAAAATCTGTAAAACATACTTCCAATTAGTTAGTGAGATACAAAATTCAATGGCAGTATACAATATCAAAGTAATAGCAATGGTAACAGCAACAAAGTCTAATAATAATATCCACCAAGCTGCAACAATGGCAGTAAAAAATATCAAATTGATAGCAATGGTAATAGCAATAAAGTCAGAGATAATAATATTTACCAAACTGCAACAATGGTCAAGCTTCCGAAATAGGTCCAAGCTGAAAATAGTGTCTTCACACAACCGCTGGACTTGATGTAATGTGAGGTGAGAGAGGCGTGTTGTTCCCACTCACTGAGTCACTGAAGCTGTTCTAGAAGATTCCAGATTGTATCAGAAAGCATCAATATACAGTAATTTCCACACCGCTGCTAACATTATCTACTAATACATTCCTGACAACGGATTATTATTAAAACACAATGCTATGAATTTCTACTGAATCCTTACATAAATAATGTAACCAATTAACAACATTGCCATATAACAAAACCAATTAGAGGCCTTGCATCACCATCAACAACATTGCCACATAACACAACCATTTACAGACCTTGCATCACCATTCACAACATTGCCATATAACACAACCAATTAGAGACCTTGCATCACCATTAACAACATTGCCATATAACACAACCAATAAGAGACCTTGCATCACCATTAACAACATTGCCATATAACACTACCAATTAGAGACCTTGCATCACCATTAACAACATTGCCATATAACACAACCAATAAGAGACCTTGAATCATCAATAACAACATTGCCATATAACACAAAAATTAGATACCTTGCATCACCATTAACAACATTGCCATATAACACAACCAATTAGAGACATTGCATCACAATTAACAACATTGCCATATAACACATCCAATTATAGACCTTGCATCACCATGAATAACATTGCCATATAACACAACCAATTAGAGACATTGCATCACAATTAACAACATTGCCATATAACACAGTAAATTATAGACCTTGCATCACCATTAACAAACATTGCCACATAACACATCCAATTATAGACCTTGCATCACCATTAACAAACATTGCCACATAACACTACCAATTATAGACCTTGCATCACCATTAACAACATTGCCATATAACAAAACCAATAAGAGACCTTGCATCACCACTAACAATATTGCCACATAACACAACCGATTAGAGACCTTGCATCACCATTAACAACATTGCCATATAACAAAACCAATAAGAGACCTTGCATCACCACTAACAATATTGCCACATAACACAACCGATTAGAGACCTTGCATCACCATTAACAACATTGCTATATAATACAACCAATTAGAGACCTTGCATCACCATTAACAACATTGCCATAAAAAACAACCAATAAGAGACCTTGCATCACCTTGAATAACATTGCCATATAACAAAACCAATAAGAGACCTTGCATCACCACTAACAATATTGCCACATAACACAACCGATTAGAGACCTTGCATCACCATTAACAACATTGCCATATAATACAACCAATTAGAGACCTTGCATCACCATTAACAACATTGCCATAAAAAACAACCAATAAGAGACCTTGCATCACCTTGAATAACATTGCCATACAACACAACCAATTAGAGACCTTGCATCACCATTAACAACATTGCCATATAACACAACCAATTAGAGACATTGCATCACAATTAACAGCATTGTCATATAACACAACCAAATATAGACATTGCATCACCATTAACAACATTGCCATATAACACAACCAATAAGAGACCTTGCATCACCATGAATAACATTGCCATATAACACAACCAATAAGAGACCTTGCATCACCATTAACAACATTGCCATATAACACAACCAATAAGAGACCTTGCATCACCATTAACAACATTACCATATAACACAACCAATTAGAGACATTGCATCACCATTAACAACACTGCCACATAACACAACCGATTAGAGACCTTGCATCACCATTAACAACATTGCCATATAACACAACTAATTAGATACCTTGCATCACAATTAACAACATTGTCATATAACACAACCAAATATAGACATTGCATCACCATTAACAACATTGCCATATAACACAACCGATTAGATACCTTGCATCACCATTAACAACATTGCCATATATATTTTACTACTATTTGTATTAAAAGCATAGTTCCGGATATCATATCTGTACCTGTAAGAACACAACACATTATCATACAGGTTAAGTGGTACTTGGTGCAAATATGTGCGACATTAAAAAAAACCCATGTAACAACACTACATACTCAACTTGTCGGGAATCGTGACATTGGTGACGCCGTGATATTGCTGGAATATTTGCTAAAATCGGCGTTAAACCTCACTCACTCACTCCCAGGTCTGCTGATTTCGTCATAAAATTGTCTTTGTGTTTGTGTTATTGGTTTGAGTTTGTCGATAAATTTATCTAGAAGACTACAGTGAGCTTTCATCATTACAGATACAGGAACTTGAGAAACGTGATGCGCTGCGTGAGAAACACATCCAAGACTTGACGGAACAAAAACAGAAAGGTTGGATTTCTATAATCTGTTGGCAACATTGTAAGCTGTCTTTATCATGAGCATGTGATGATACAAGGTGTTGCCAAAAGAGTCAAATAAGGGAATTGTGTCGAACATCATTTTTGTGTCAAATTTGGAAATGTCCTCCACATGTTTACCATTAAGCTTTTTGAAAGCTAAAGCCCTAATCAAACAACAACAAGAGTCAGACTACGGTCTTTGAAATCTTGGCAGAAAGAGCGTGCTTGATTGCACCTCGAAAGTTATATATAGTCAAATATAAACACCAAAGGCTGGAGCTGATGAAATATAGACATGATGTACCAGTCCCGTGTTGAAAAGGCAGCGAGAAGCGTCATTAACACATCTAACACTGTACCGTAGACATGATACACCAGTCCTGTGTTTCTGATGGCGTCGGGAAGCGTCATTAACACTTCTAACACTGTACCGTAGACATGATACACCAGTCCTGTGTTTCTGATGGCGTCGGGAAGCGTCATTAACACTTCCAACACTGTACTGTAGACATGATACACCAGTCCTGTGTTTCTAATAGCAGTGGGAAGTGTCAGTAACACTTCTAACGCTGTAAAGTTGACATGATACACGAGCCTTGTGTTTCTAATGGCGGCGGGTAGCCTCAGTAACACCTCTAACACTGCACAGTTGACATGATACACCAGCCCTGTGTTTCTAATGGCGTTAGGAAGCGTCATTAACACTTCTAACACTCTAAAAAGACATGATACACCAGCCCTGTATTTATAATGCCGGCGGGAAGCGTCATTACCACTTCGAACACTGTACTGTAGACATGATACACGAGCCTTGTTTTTCTAATGGCGTTAGGAAGCGTCATTAACACTTTTAGCACTGCACAGTTGATATGATACACCAGCCCTGTGTTTCCTATGGCGGTGGGAAGCGTCATTAACACTTCTCACACTATAAAGTAGATATGATACACCAACCGTTTGTTTCTAATGGCGGCGACAAGTGGCATTAACATTTCTAACACTATACAGTAGACATGATACACCAGCCTTGTGTTTCTAATGGCAGAGAGAAGTGTCATTAACACTTCTAACACTGTAGACTAGACATGATACACCAGTACTGTGTTTCTAATGGCAGCGGGAAGCGTCATCAACACTTCTCACACTATTCAGTAGACATGATATACCAGCCATGTGTTTCTAATGGCAGCGAGAAGTGTCATTAACCCGTCTAACACTGTAGGCTAGACATGATACACCAGCCATGTGTTTCTAAAGGCAGCGGGAAGCGTCATTAACACTTTTAACACTGTACAGTAGACATGATACACCAGCCTTGTGTGTCTAGTAGATGCAGAACACATCATTAACATTCCTAACACTGTACTTCATTAAAACCTGTATGAACAACTTTTAACGAGGGAACTGTCAGTCGCTTGTCATATGTTTCACGACAAGTATCCTGCTAAGAAATATCGCGAAAATGAAATACGTCTCTCCACCCTTTGTCTAGTTCTAAAAGCGATGTTAAGTTACTTTAATAATTCAAATCTCCTCACAGAATCTAATCGCTGACAACTATACTTTCTTACAAATGTCATGCATTTCAGGGTTGAACAGCTTACAAAAGTCGAAAATTAAAAATCTACCAGACCAAATGTGACATGTTATTGGCAATTGTATAAAGAAATGAAAATGCATACTTTCTACTCAATTACCCATAAGGCATTATTTCCATTACCAACTCATTCCATAGATTTTTCAGAAAACTATTACATACAGTTGAAAAAACAAACTGTTCAAGGGAGAATATTTTATTGCGATAAGAGCAAATGCCACCATATTGTGCGGGCCCTACCAGTAGGTCAGGACATGCTCATCCTGCAAACACCTAGTGTCATCACTGATTTTCAGGGGTCATTCACATAATTTTGACCGCTATTTTGACCCCTATACAAAATGGAATCTGTTTCGGCGGATAATCTACATTGGCTATTCTCTTGCATTTACAATTTATCTATTCGAAGTCACGAGTCTAGTTCATCACTTGGCCTTACCTCGATCAGCTCGATCGTTCGTTCGTGTAAATGTCTATAGTTCCTTGAAATGGCAGTTGTCCCATGGAGAATTAGGATATAGACACACAAAATTTGTTTTACACTAGGCCTAGTTGCATGGAATTTGGAGTTGATTTGGTTTGCCATTAATATAGACAATTTGCTAAACGGTGACATTTATCACCAAATACATTCAGCTTAAAAGCGCCCGAATAGGACGAATAATTAATTTAACACTGGAATACATTCATAGGCGTAGATGTCAGTAATTGGATCCCCAAACCAGAACGAACGTTTTTATGTGTGTAGGGAAGTTGTCGAATGAAAAACGTTACACTCATGCGCAGTTCTTTATTACGGTCGAAGCCGACCGCTGTCTGCAGATCAGTATTTTCTTACACAGACAACACAGTGGCGGTGGAACCCCCCTTGTCGAAACATTAAAGTGTAAAAATATTTTGAAGCATAAATGAAAATATTATCAATTGATTATTAATCCAACCTTAGAGTGATAAAGGTGCCTGACATATCTGTGAAAGGTATCTTTGTACGACACGCGAAATTAGTGAGTGAGTGCGTATGCTTTTAGCATTATTCAAGCAATATCACGGCGAAGCAAGCGAAGTAACAAGAATCTGTGACAAGTCATAGACGGAAATTGATCAGCAAATATCCTTCCGCCGCACATGTGGTGGGTGAGTTGGTTTTAACGCCACTTTAAACAGTATTCCAGTTATATCACGGTGTGTCAGCTAAATGTGGGAGGAAAGCCCTGAGTGATGCAGGTTTCAGACGTCTACCTCTTCGGTGAAACCCACGAGCACGGGTATGGTGCTGACAAACCTAGAAGCATGATCGGGACGAACAGGGATTCGAACCGACAATTGCGGCGCCCTATAGACGACTGGGCCACCCGTGTACTGCCGCCCGGGACAGACAGACAGACAGACAGACACGGTTGACCAAGTCGTTTTAGGCGGCACAATTCGCCGTGCAGAGTTGTGTGCCCTAGGCGTGCAAGAAATCTATAATCGAATCCCAGCACTATGCAATATTTCGTATTTTCCTCCTACATAAAGCTGACACACCGTGGTGTAACCAAAATACTGTTAAAAGCGGCGCAAAATAATAGTCATTCAGGATATCCTTTTTGACGATCCTTTATTGATAAATTACTAGTATATCAGATAACTAACGATCTTTTAACCCACAGATTTAGTTCCTACTTATCTGAATTAAGTATGCACATGTGTTATTGCTGTGACTGAGTTAAATACCTGGGGGCAGCCATCTACAATCAAATTTCATGTTGAGTAAAAAGTTTGAAAATAAGCAATACGAAATGTAACAGGCACAAGGCCACACTTCATCACTATGTCAGCGGCCGACACGTTTTACAAATACAACATTCAAAATGGTGGCTACCGTCGCGATAGCTTCGATGCTTTGTTTGCTTGTGATAAGGTTGAGGAACTGGTCAGTAGTTCTTGGTAATTTTCCGATCAAAACACAAACATGAGTTCATGGTCTGAAGGTTCTTAACAAACCAAAATGATGACTCAGGGCAAGGGCCAGGCAAGTCGGACTCAACCAGTTTAAATATATGTTTCCATGGTAAAGGGAGAAGAGTAGGCTTGCAGTCAATAGATCGAGTCGTTACAGTCAATAGATCCAGTCGTTACAGTGAATGATATCATGAGCATCGATCCATGCTGAAGACGTACTTAATTCGTAGGGCACGAACGCCCGAATCGAACAATTGTGTGACTGTTGTCGCATGGTTGGTTTGGTTCGTTTGTTGTTAAACGCCGCACTCAGCAATATTCCAGCTAAATGACGGCGTTACAGTCAACAGATCGAGTCGTTACAGTCAATAGATCGAGTCGTCACAGTCAATAGATCGAGTCGATACAGTCAATAGATCGAGTCGTTACAGTGATTGATGTCATGAGCATCAATCCATGCTGCGGACGTACTTAATTCGTAGGTCACGAACGCCCGAATCGAACAATTTTGTAACTGTTGTCGCATGGTTGGTTTGGTGTTTAACGCCGCAATATTCCAGCTAACTGACGGCAGTCTGTAAATAACAGAGTCTGGACCAGACAATCCAGTGATTAATATCATGAACATCGATCCATGCAATTGGGAACGATGACATGCATCAACCAAGTAAACGAGCCTGACCACCCGTCCTCGATTCTCACGACAGGCATAGTCGCCTTTTACGCCAAGCATGGGTTTCTCGAGACCTTACTCTACTCCGGATCTTCTCGCGGAAACAATGCTTTGTTGCAGGATAAAGTATAGTCGGTGCCTTTGATCTTTTAGCGAAGCATCTTAGAATAAAAATAAAGACATATTTTACGCACGACGATGAGGTAGATTTCTTTAAGCAATGAATTAGACTTATTTTTTAGGACGTAAATGGTGGGTAAGTTTTCAGTTTGTACTTCAGAATTTTGCTAGAAAATTAAATGTCACAGACATTGTAAATATAGTAAGATTTATGTAAAACAGAATACATTTTGAAGGTATCAGGTGCTTGCTTCACACAATGTTAACACCCAGACGTTTGTTTAGCCTGCCACCGGGGATAAACAAACGTCTGCATGTAAACATTCATACCTCGTTTCAACTGCAAAGCTTGTTTGTTCTATTTTAATCAGTAATACATCCCCACTACAGACCAGGGCCAAATGTATCAGCCTCATTATTTTTACACTCAGCTTTGTTCTAATCCGGAATATCTTATGTGGAACAAATGTATTTTTGCAGGGCACCAACATTGTTTTTTGAAGGATGGCAAGGGAATGTAGAATATATAAGGGCAAATGTGCACGATTCTCATTTTATTATGTCTAAGTTAGAACGGACGTTAAATGCGAAAACAATTTGGCGCTTGTCACACTGGCAATCGGCTTTTCAGTCTTAATTACTTAATAGGGCCACGTGTTTTTCCCTTCTTTACACAAACAAACACTGTATCAAACATCTTGTAGTGCCGGCGACAGATGACGTGATGGGTGTACTGCCGCCATTGCTCGGAATGCTGAATTATGACAGTGTTGCAAAGAGTTTTCCTGACACTGAATTACCCACTTCAGACCAGGGCCTCATTATTTTTACACTCAGCTTTGTTCTAATCCGGAATATCTTATGTGGAACAAATGTATTTTTGCAGGGCACCAACATTGTTTTTTGAAGTATGGCAAGGAAATGTAGAATATATAAGGGCAAATGTGATTCTCATTATTGTATGACTAAGTTAGAACGAACGTTAAACGTGTTAAATGCGAAAACAATTTGGCGCTCGTCACCCTGGCAATCGGCATTTCAATCTTAATCACGTAATAGTGCCACGTGTTTATACCCTTCTTTACACAACCAAACACCGTATCAAACATCTTGTAGTGCCGGCGACAGTTTCTCCCTCAGATAGAATCTAGTAAGCTGATCTTTGATGGATGTACTGCCGCCATCGCTCGGAATGTTGGATTATGACAGTGTTGCAAAGAATTTTCCTGACACTGAATTACCACTGTGTTGCACACGCGCCGAGTCATGTAGACCTGTTGCTCTTTTACATTCATTGCATCATCATGAAAAGTTTATAACTGAAATATTATTCTGTAGCATTTCGTATATCGACGTTTGTAATACTGTATAGCCCGAGACACCAAACGACGTAAAATGCACCAGTTTCAGAGTCTAGTTAAGAGAGTGTTTGTATCGGGGAGGATGGGGACTAAAACATCAAGCAAAGTCACTCGGAACACAAATAATTTACGATAGGTCGCAACACTCTACATTTAGTAGCCTGTTATCATCATTTAGCAAAAAGCAATATGGATACAGAGAAACCATCAAGAAAGTTGTCGATTTGACGATGTATCCACAGACATTGAAATGCACGAAAATATTTTTTCCTCCAGAATTTCACTGGTGGGCGTCATATCCTGGCCAAAATATGGTTATAACGATGTGCATTGATTCTCACTCACAACAAATACCTGAGTATAATTTAAATATACAGTAATAACATAGCAGGCAATGAAAATTAGAAAACAATGTTCAGTACTTGATCTGTATGTGCTATGTATATTTGCTGTGCACAGTATTGATACTCAAACAACAACTTGTTATTGTTATTGATATTGTGCAACAACGCACCAACTTGCGGGGACCGTTTCATTGTCATAAAAATTCAACCCACAACTAAAGAAGTAGGACTAAAATAATAATCATTCCATAATTGGGAATTAAGAGTAGGTAGCTGATGAAATACCATGTTGTTATGTTCCAATATGATAAATGCACATATTATGTGTTTCAGTTTATTTGAGATCTGGTCTTTCTTCTGTGTACAACAATATAAACTAACATGTTTAGTACTTAGTCCTCATAATTGTAACATATAAAACCCTTAAAACGACATATGTTTACTAGCCTAGTCGTTATGATATCTGAACTATTGGGATGTTTGGCAAGGACTATAGGACGAGTGCCAATTTTTATCGCTGGTGTAGTAATGTTCATTTATGTTGTGTGGTGTATGATTATAGTATTATGACAACAAAATAACAATCTATTCAGTTTCTGCAACTTCAACCAAGAGAAGAGATATATCTCAGCAGGTAGCACAGAGGCAGTGTGCAGCTTAGGTTTATTCAGGGAGTGTTTTTCCAGCAATCTAAACCTAATAAATATAAGCGATTTTCAAAATTTGTCATTCGCCATGCTACGGTATATTAATCAGGGTTAGAAACTAACAGTTTTTGTCCAATAGTCCTTATTAGATAACATATAGCCAAACCCTTAAAATGGGCCAATTTCTACTGCTCCTTAGAATACCTTTACCATTGGGTAGTTTGGTAAGGACTACAGGACTAGTGCCGATTTCTAACGCTGTTAACAATACCTCTACTACAGCAAATGTATTATAAATCAAGTTTATCAGTGAATAAATTTGAAAGTCACACATTTATTGAAGGAAAAAGCTTTTCGTAGGCCAGTAGTTGTAATGTTTACTTGCAATATATAGTTTTCTGAACAGCATATATGGGGGTGGTGTGTAGCCTAGAGGATAAAGCATTCGCTATTCACGAGGTAGATTCCCTCGCATGGCTACAGTGTGTGAAGCCTATGTCTAGTGTTCCCCGCCCAGATATTGCCGGAATATTGCTAAGAACCTGTAAAACCCAACCCAACTGAACAGCATATGTTGTGTTTCAGCCTCGAGCGACCGGAGCCACAGAGAAAGGGCTGCACAGATGACGACAGTGACGACCCATGGTAGGTGGGAGAAGCCAGCAGGTGGTAGATACTGTCACTGTCCAACTTTGTAAGAGATGAGGTCACATCAACAGTTCACTCCAAAAACCTCCATATAAACAGTCTCTACAATAACAAGCTGATAAATGCAGTCTCTTATTATCCTGATAATTTGAAACAAGTCAATTATATTGGCAGTACCACCATAAGGCTCAATCCAACACAACGCGCGGCTCAGATGAACAGCAATCTCAATGTTTGTGTTGTATATTCATGATAGTCGTTTGAGTGATTTATTAGTTGCTAGATTACCTTATAATTATTCCTCTACTAAGATGAATGGTTTTGAAATTGTATTCATCAGTCAAAATTTTAAAATCCTAAACTTTGTCCAATATCTGGTATGTATAATGCTCATGTGGTCTGTATAGCTTTCTGAACAGCATGTTCTGTGTTTCAGCCTCGAGCGACCAGAGTCGGACCACGAGGACACCAGTGACGACCACAGCAGGTAGAAAGTCCACACTTTAATCCCCCCAACAATTAACAAGCTGGGGTTTAGACCCGTGGGCTTTCTGACTTGCTTCTTGCATAAATCGTATCCCAGTTATGTCGATCTGTGCTCATGTTGTCAACCACTGGACTGTCTGTCTTTATCAGACTCTGCCATCTTATTGCTGGACTACTGCAAATAAACAGACTGACAAACTCCAATGTCATGTCTTATAAGATCTATCTAATATTTGATTACATGAACCAGCTGTCGTCCTTCCCCTTGATCGTTGTGTTGTCAGCCATGTTGGAAGTGGTTGATGACGTACCGTGTCACGTGTCACCACGTTGAGGTGTGAACCATGTAGATGTATGACGAAGATGTCTGGAAGTGTAGAGAGTTTACTTTGTGTTACAGCGACTCCATCACCAGCAGACTGCGAGGACCTCCATGACGCCAGCGGGGACGGGGACCTGGAGGAGGTGAAGCGGCTCCTGTCGCGGGGCGTGGACATCAATTGTAGGGTAGGGGGAAGCAGGACACCGGTGGAGTTTGTGCTGTCTCTGAACGTGGTGGACATCGACGGTAGAGGAGGAGGGAGCTGGACACCGGTGATGAGGGCAGCATACAGGGGACACAGAGAGGTGGTGGAGCTCCTGGTGAATAAAGGGGCCGATGTGTCACTGGTGGACAAGGACGGTGACAACATCCTTCACCTCGCCTGTATTAGAGGACACTTGGAGATAGTGAAGTTTGTGCTGTCTCTGAACGTGATGGACATCAACAGTAGAGGAAGTGGGAGCTGGACACCGGTGATGAGGGCAGCTTGGGGGGAACACAGAGACGTGGTGGATCTCCTGGTGAGTAAAGGGGCCGATGTGTCACTGGTGGACGAGGACGGTGACAACATCCTTCACTTCGCCTGTAGTGAGGGACACTTGGAGACGGTGGAGTTTGTGCTGTCTCTGAACGTGGTGGACATCGACAGTAGAGGAGGAGGGAGCTGGACACCGGTGATGAGGGCAACATACAGGGGACACAGAGACGTGGTGGAGCTCCTGGTGAGTAAAGGGGCCGATGTGTCACTGGTGGACGGGGACGGTAACAACATCCTTCACCTCGCCTGTAGTGAGGGACACTTGGAGACGGTGGAGTTTGTGCTGTCTCTGAACGTGGTGGACATCAATAGTAGAGGAAGGTGGAGCCTGACACCGGTGATGAGGGCAGCACGGAATGGACACACAGACGTGTTGGAGCTCCTGGTGAGTAAAGGGGCCGATGTGTCACTGGTGGACGAGGACGGTTACAACATCCTTCACTGGGCCTGTATTGAGGGACACTTGGAGACGGTGGAGTTTATGCTGTCTCTGAACGTGGTGGACATCGACGCCAGGAACAACGACGGGGAGACGGCGGCCGACATGGCGAGATCCTGGGGACATACGCGAGTGGCGAATCTCCTCGTGTCCCGCGGCGCTCAGTGACGTCAGTGTCGTGTTTGTGTAGACGGTGGGGGTGATGTGACAGTTACGTGGTGTGCCGTTCACATCGTCGTGTGTAGATATGTCTTTATTTACGTTAAACTGTTTGTTGTTTTTGGAAATGAATAAAACTTGTAAAAAGTTTGTGAGACATTTTGTCATTTGTTGTGTTTGGAACTTTGCATCATCAGGTAAGAGAATTGTTAACTGAGTGTAAATAGAGATGATGTGTGATTAGTAAGTAAGCACCGCACCTCGTGATATGTTCGTGCATGTCGTCATATATTTCTGTGTTAGTTTTGCGCCATAAGTTTATAATTAATCGTGAAAAACACAAAAACATGTTTGTTTACATCTCGCTGCACTCGGCGACCTCAGACCGAGCCGAGGTTCGCCCAGCTGACGTGGTGCCAAATGTACAATGACAGTGACGTCATACTGTCGATGACGTCACGGCATTCCAGCTTAGGGTAAACACTGAAGCTGCCGGCAGTTTTCTCTGCTAAATACGATATATCGGTAATTCCCAGGGCGACACAATGCTGGCTTCACGGCATATGCAAGTACAGCACAGGCCTCATGTGGGCGATATAGTTTAACAAAGAAAAAGTATCCATCTGTTTCTATAGAGGTGGGTTGCATATTATTGCTGCTAAAATTTAAAAAGAAATATTTCTGATTGGAGAGATATTTATTTTTTACCATTTCAATCAAGCTACTTTCCAGCGCGTGACACCTTCTCTACACTCTCGTCTTACCACTGACCAGATTTCCTAGATGAATTCAGAGCTATAGATAGGCTCTTGGTTATTTGTTGTTTTTAACCAGGGGTAGGATGCCAGACGGACATATATGTCCCTCCTTTTCAAACCTCACTTGGAAGTCGAATAAAATTCAAAATACATCAGACACGCAGATACACTTCACAGTTTTGTATACTCTGAAAAATTCCCTGTTCTGTGATATCATCCACTGGCATCTTAGTGATCACAGGTATCTGTCTTTTGTCAAACCACCAAAGATCAATCCAAAACGTCGCTAATAACCTTAGAATCGTTTAGAATGTTTTGGAAAATACGCAAACACGAATGCTGGCTCGAAAAACTGCACTTTTTATAGTGTTACAAAATACAGATTTTACAGTGTAGCATTTCCCCTATTTTTAACTATCCATTAGACTATTCATTCAGAATATGCATGGGGAGAGAATCATAGGAGGAATTTGGAAATTAAAAATAGATACATTGTTATGATTTGATATTTTCAACAGAAATTGTCAAAGCTATCGTCCTGTGTGACGCCATGACTGACGCAAAATCATGCACAACGACAACGGTATTTATCGGAATTTCTGACTATTTCCGTTTGTTTCAATGAAAATATTACAACACATAACAGTAAACAGATTGTCAGAATGTTTCTGATTACTTACATGTCATACGATACATATACGATCCGTGAATCAACGAACGTCACCGCGTACAATCCCGCGTACTGTTGACAATGAACACGTCGTTTTGTTGAACAATGTTTATATAAGAAATTATTAAGTTTATAGTGTCGTATACGATATTTCTTCCCTTTGGACAAGTGTTAGAAGAAGAAATGTAAACATTTGAAACAAATTGGGCAGGACATTTTGTTGGGGGTAATCCAGTCTGAATGCTAATGCCAGAAGGATGTAGCTCACCCACAAAAGCCTTATACAAGGAAACTAACTATCAATGACTATAGTTATAGTTATAGTTAGATATTGGGATATTCTCTGGAAACTGGAGGAGTTGATTTCATGAAGCTTCGTAAAACAGGGGCAGTAACTGTCACAATTTGTCGAAATGAAACGGGACTGCAATATGCGTATCATCAATATGTCGACATCTTGTGTGTAGAGTGTCAGGGATATTCTCTAAAAGCTGGGGCAGGAGTTGATTTCACAAGCTTAGTACCCTCATGTTATCTTACAGTTGTAATATATGCAATCGTTTCATCTAATAGTTATAATATAAGCATAAATTTTATTTAATGAGCAAAAATTTTAGTTTTAGGATGTGTCTGCGTAGTTCAGTTTATTTAATGCGTATTTACGCAAATACAAAGCTCATCTCGAATAGAAACCAATAGACTGGGTTCCTTTCTACCTAAACTAAATTGCACTAACCTTGCATGGCGCACCAACAATGGAGCCAGTTTCATAAAATCACCCAACTTGATAGTTGACGAAATAGAATTCAAATTGACAAAGCAATAATTATTAGCTGGGATAAGTGTATATTCGGCGTCACGGAAGTCATCACTTAATTATAAACAAAATGGTCAGTGGGTTGCGAATTGAACTCCAAGCATGGTTGTGGTCACCTATCACACTGGGGAGCTTTGACTGGTGCCAGCGATAGCAAAGAGAAAATTGCATTCCAATAACAAAACAAGCGTATAGTCGACGAAGTCATCTATATCCCCTTCCATTTTAACACGTTATGGTCCCAAACCAGGTAACTGACCCAACATTTCTCTTAGGCCATGTCAAAATAGCTGCAAAGGAAATCCTAAAATAAACATTTATAAAACTCCTTAATATCCAATAGAACCAGTTCAGAATGTGTCTGGTAAACATGCAACGTTTTGTAAGAAATTGTTTAACAGTTTTTGAGTTACGCTCCGGAAAGGAACAGCACCCTTAGAGAACCAAAGTCCGACTTGTTGCCATGGAAACGTAAAAAATATAAATTTATAAAATTCCTAAAAAGCTAAAGGCACAAGATCAGCATGAGTCTGATAGACATGCAAAGTCTCGTAGAGAAATATATAACGGTTTCTGAGTTATGCTCCGGAAACGATTTCGGGACGCACACACGCACGCACACACGCACGCACACACGCACGCACACATGCATGCACACATGCACACACGGACGGAACCCATTTCTATATCCCCCGCCAACTTCGTTTGGGCGGGGGATAACAAGAGGTCCATAGGGCTTTTATCGCTCACCTGGATATTTATGCAATCAGTCAATTTGTACAATTGTGAATTCCTATCACCTGAGAATACTTCCAACCAAATGTCAGTGATTGGCAGTGGTGGGTCAGCAATGGGAAGTGGTGGGCCAGCAATGGGAAGGGGTGGGTCAGTGATTGGGAGTGTTGGGTCAGTGATTGAGAGTGGTGGGACCGTCATTAGGCACGGTGGGTCAGTGATGAGGGGTGGTGGGTCAGTCATGGGGAGTGGTGGGTCAGTCATAGGGAGTGGTGGGTCAGTCATGGGGAGTGGTTGGCCAGTGATGGGGAGCGGTGGGTCAGTGATTGGGACCGATGGGTCAGTCATGGGGAGTGGTGATCAGTGATGGGGAATGGTGGGTCAGTCATGGCGAGTTGTGGGTCAGTCATGGGGAGCGGTGGGTCAGTGATTGGGAGTGTTGGGTCAGTGATTGAGAGTGGTGGGACCGTCATTAGGCACGGTGGGTCAGTGATGAGGGGTGGTGGGTCAGTCATGGGAAGTGGTGGGTCAGTCATAGGGAGTGGTGGGTCAGTCATGGGGAGTGGTTGGCCAGTGATGGGGAGCGGTGGGTCAGTGATTGGGACCGATGGGTCAGTCATGGGGAGTGGTGATCAGTGATGGGGAATGGTGGGTCAGTCATGGCGAGTTGTGGGTCAGTCATGGGGAGAGGTTGGTCAGTGATGGGGAGTGATGGGTCAGTGATGGGGAGTGGTGGGTCAGTGATGGGGAGTGGTAGGCCAGTAACAGGGAGTGGTGGGTCAGTGATGGAGAGTGGTGGGTCAGTGATGGGGAGTGGTGGGTCAGTGATGGGGAATGGTAGGCCAGTGACAGGGAGTGGTGGGTCAGTGATGAGGAGTGGTGGGTCAGTGATTAGAAGTGTTGGTATAAACATTACCATTCACTGAGGATTTCACAGCAAAAAAAATGCAGTTTCCGGTATCCGGATACCTGCCGGATACCACCGGACACTTACCCAAAACGCGTCCGGGTATCCGGTGGCAGATACCTTGCCGGATACCAGATCCGTGGTATCCGGCATGGACACCTCACCTGAAAGTATGCCACCTGGAATCCGGGTATCCGGCACCGGATACCTCACCGGATACCTCAATCTGGGTGTCCAAGGATCCGCACCGGATACCAAGAATCCGGCACCGGATACCTCATTCTGAGTTTCCAAAAACATGTCACAATTTGGGGGTGCATTTTGTTCAATTAAGTGTGAAACACCTAAATATATATTGGAAACTAACCATGAAAATTGAACATTGCTGAAGGTATCCGGCAGGTATCCGGCAGGTATCCGGATGCAATTTTTCGAGATGTCTTATTTCTGGTAAATAATGTTAGCCTGGGCATATCAGATAGCTGTAGTAATATTCTGTGTCATTTTAGTTGTAAATATCCCCTTAAAGTTGAGATCTATGGGCATGTACTTTTGGAGAAGACAATATTTTTCAATTTCATCTATAATTATTTTTAGATGTTAAGCTGTTTAATGAACAAACATCAGTTCTAATACATGTATGATGATATCCTTAAATTTCATGTTCAGACTTCCAGATTATTCTGAGTGAAAGTATAAACTCATCGACTGTGTGCTCACTTGGGCCTTTGGTCCTAGTGAGATGATAATATGATTATTTGTAAAGGTACAAGTACTTGTTATGAGCATACCAGCTTCATTTAAGTTTGAAACACAATATGCCTCACTCTGAGGGTGACATGTACCAGATTTCATCACACTACAGAGAGCTGTTCCTCAGTTACTGTGAACATTTTTACTGAAAGACATTGAAAGCTAATTTGACCTTCAATATCAGTTGCGACTATTTCAAAAACAATTGTAAAGTGCTTCATTCAGTGTAATATTGACAAACATATGACAATGATATACAACTATGTGTATAAGAGTTATTTAGACTTCTGCGGGAAAAGGCACATTAGAGAACAAGAGTCATCAGAAAGATGACATATCCCCCCGGCAGCTGTCTGTAAAGTAACCACTAGTGCATTTCTGTATGTAATGAGTCAACAGTTGAATGTTCTTTAAGAAGCATACATTGTTTACCCACAAAAGATCCACCATGGTCGCATCCATATGAATGCCAAGTTTCGATAAAATACATTGAATGTTTTTCGAATTCTG